ACACCCAACAATTATCCGGGGAGGAACTTTCGGAGGGTATATCCCACCCTTTAGGGCCAAAATTGAGGTCTAAAGGACCAGAAAAATGTTTAATTCGACTGATTCTCTTTTAGCGTCAGCTCCCGCCATCCGCTTCTACCACGGATGGTTTGATACTGTATCGCTCAAGGAAGTCGGAACATCTGATTTATATTTCCTTGACACTGACTTGTTTACTATTTCATCATTCAGTTTTATTGCGTATTCACCAGATTTGTTAGCAATAACTGGATCTCGACCATCAAAAGGAATTAACCGTTTACACCTTTGATACCAAGGAAACACATCAATTGCGATCAAGAGAATATTTCTTGTTGAGTTTTATTGATTAAGATTGAAGTATTCAATTAAAAGAATAATAACTTAAGTCGCTGTGAGTCTACATCATTTTAACACACGTGTGTAAACCCTCAGTTATTTTTTATACTACTATCATTTGTTTGCCAAATTAAATGGGGACGTTTGGCGGGAACCATGAGTAATTGTCCGTATAAATGGAGAGACTTTAGGACCCTTTAGGTTACATCGACGGCATAAGATGATACGCAGAGAATTTTTTTGCCGGCACCAAGTTTCAATTGCATATATGTTACTATATATCTTTGTTCAAGAGGTCATTCGCTTGAATATCCATCATGAAAACATTGACATGTTGTCTTGAAATGTCACCCCAACAGCAATCTACGACTGAGGAACGCTATTGACAGTATTGATAACCAACGACTGAGATTCTTAGCACAAGAGGTGTGACTGCTTCGCAATTGTGACACATCGGACAGTTTATTTGCCGAAAACAGATACCTTGACTGTGTTTTGTTTCCCTTGGCCATGTTTTGTTTTTCTCGAACATTCAAATTCAATATTCTATTCCAGTGCATTTTAAAAGAACCGAGCACCTATTTAACCTTGAAATAGCGACTATTTGAAAAGGGTTAAAATGTGTTGAAATTGAAGAGGGTCTGAATGGGGGAGTCCACGTGTTGGTTGTCGGTTAAAATTTCCTTACTTTGTCGGTTGTCGGTTAACATTTTCGACCTTTGTCGGTTGTCGGAAAAATCTCAGTTAACTTTTTGTCGCTATTCGGTAATTTTTTTCCCTCGTTTGTCAGTAGGCAGTAATA